AAACAAATTAAAGATGAAGAAGAGTATTAGTAATATATTGGTTTCAAGTTTGGTTGCCTTTTCTCATGAATTTTCCATTTCTGATAATAATGGGAATATTGTATTCCCTCACGTGCTGGACATGGACGGCGAACCACTCAAGATAAACGAGGAGTACTCCATTCTGAGTGTTCTCCCGGGAGGTGGAAGCGTATACTTAGCTGATATTGATAACCTTACCGAATGCCCAAATGACGTTGTGAAGGACAGGTCTGGTGATTTTGATCACAGCACACCCGTGTTGTTTTATACTATGCAACTTGGAAGAGATCATTTCGTTTATGAAAACCAAGATGTTAGTATAATGTTCTCAACTTCTTCTTCAACTAAGTCATGTTTTAACGAAACTGTTTGGAAAGCTGGTTATTACTTTCTAGGGCCGGTGCATCCACCACCTAGGTTTGTTATAACTGGTGGTACCTTAGGAATTCCAGGACCTAATACCTTAAACAACTGGTTCAAAATTGAGAAATATGAGACGGAGAGTCCTCATTCTTACAAGTTAAGGTATTGTCCTAGTCAATATATGTGTCCAACATGCCAATTTGATTGTGCAGATGTCGGATTGTACAAAGATATGGAATACACCCGTCTGGCTCTCAATAACATGCCTTATCCCTTTGGCTTTAGCAAAGTAAAGAAGAATGATGCATAGTTAGTTAATTATCTATGCTTATTATAACCTAGCTTTCTAAAATAATGTGGATCATACTTCTATGTAATATTAATGCTTATGATGAATAAAAAAGCTAGGTTCTTTATTTATTAATTTCTGCTTTCAAACAAATAAGTTTTAGTAATTAATAAGTGCTACGTATTACTTATGGATAATTCCATATCCGGTACCGTCACAATATTAGCTATTACTTATGGTACCGTCACGACATTAGTACTATTCATTATTGATCTGTTTGCATTGGAGTTACGACTAAGTCCAAGTTATAATATGCATTGTTATTGATTACGTGATGTGGATTTCATGGATAAGATCCTTTTATGTTTAATCAATTGCATATTAATTTTGATTAGACATGCCCAGTAGACTTAAATTAGGTTTAAGGATGGGAGACCTCATTCTTACAAGTTAAGGTATTGTCCTAGTAAATATATGTGTCCAACATGCCAATTTGATTGTGCAGATGTCGGATTGTACGAAGATAGGGGATACACCCGTCTGGCTCTCAATAACAAGCCTTATCCCTTTGGCTTTAGCAAAGTAAAGAAGAATGATGCATAGTTAGTTAATTATCTATGCTTATTATATTATAACCTAGCTCGATCGCTTTTCTAAAATAATGTGGATCATGCTTCTATTCCACTCTATGTAATATTAATTAATGCTTATGATGAATAAAAAAGCTAGGTTCTTTATTTATTAATTTCTGCTTTCAAACAAATTAGTTTTAGTAATTAATAAGTGCTACCTATTACTTATGGTACCGTCACGACATTAGTACTATTCATTATTGATCTGTTTGCATTGGAGTTACGACTAAGTCCAAGTTATAATATGCATTGTTATTGATTACGTGATGTGAATTTCATTGATAAGATGTTTAATCAATTGCATATTAATTTTGATTAGTCATGCCCAGTAGACTTAAATTTGGTTCAAAGGGGGAAATCTTTAAAAAATAAGAAACACTATTGTAATGGATGCAAATGTGTATTGTATGTTGGTTTGACTAGAAGTGAATTTTATTGTATATTGAATTGACGTAGAAGTCTCATTGTTTATTGTTGTAGAAATTTATTTGTACAACAATTTTCCAATATCCCTACTTGTTAGGGCATGGAGGATATATTATTTTATTAATATTTTGTTGAAATTCTCAAATCTAGCCTTGCATTCTTGATAGCTGGAAAAATAATAAAAGGGTACATAGCAAATTGATTTGCTTGCATGACAACTACGTTTCTTTTTTTCAAATCCTACTTCATTGGCATGTTTTAGTTATGGACAATTACATTAGTATCATTTAGGCCAATAATATATGGAGCAATAAATACATTAATCAATATGAAAGTGATATTTTTATATTGGTGCAGTCCAATTTAGGATGCGAATAAACGGATTGGGTAATCTATATAATCCACACACATATAAACCTTCGGTAGATTTTGTCCATTTTAAATATTTGTAGTAGGATTTTGTTATATAATTTTGTCACCTTTTTGACAACCAGCAAAAACCTTAAAGAAGAGTTTAATACATTTGTTGATGATATAACAAACACCTAATTAAAAATATATATTTTAAAGTCTATTTAATAAACAAAATAAAATAATGTTCTAAAATAAATTAATTTGCCCACCCACCCCTAGGAGACATAGGAGGGGAGTCCGGAGCCGAAAGGGCAAGAAAAGTTGTCAAAACATTCAAAAGGACAACAAAATTAATCTTAGAACCAAAAGGACAACTTTGTAACGATCAAATTAACGTCGTCCAAATTAGGGAGCAGCCGCAATGCGCCTTACAAGGCGCAGCCGCCTTGCGTCTTACAAGATGCAGACGACTTGCGCCTTGTAAGGCGCAGGAAATTCATGACTTGGCTGTAAATTAAAAAAAAATCATTGCCTTGTGTAATGACCTATTTCTGTCGTTATTGAAAAGCCAATGAGGAAAGAATTTGGGCCAGAAAACTTCTGAGTAGTGACTTGGAAATTTCTACCCTAGGCCAGACTTGGACGAAATTCGAGTCAGGTGAGGTCTAGGGAAATCTGGTAATGAATGTGGATTTAATTAATAATTGGATCACATGAGTGGATAGCCAAGATGTTAAGGAGCATGTACGACTCTACAGAATCGAATTCGGGTGAGTAGAACTCCTGAAACTGATCTTGGCGTGAAATGGTAGTTTTAAAACATCCAGGTTTAAATGTGTGTTGTGAAATAGGAGCTTGGTACTCAAATTTTGAACTTCTATCTCTGTGAAAGCCACGGGGACAGGATTATTCCCGTCAGGGTGGGGACACTGTGGTGGGATGGGGTCTGCCATGGCGGGCTAGTCGCGAATTAAGTCGGAGAAAAACCCCAAATTCGTTATTTTTCTGCAAACTTCGTTCTTGAGAGCTAAGGGACAACCAGGGCAGTTTCTTGACAGTTTTCCACGATTTCTAGCGCTAAAGGTAAGATTATTACTCCCCTAATCCGTATTTCGATTCTTAGAACTTAGAATCTTGGGTAATCATCGTTGAGGGGAGGGGGGGTTGGCCTGAAGTTAATGGTGGGGAAAAGCCCTGGTTGAACATTAGGATCATCCGTTTGGTCTTGGGTTAATAATTTTGTTATTATCCGAGTAAATTAGACATTGTTTAGTGATCCTTGCATTAATTGCTTGTTTTAGATCAAGAACGAGCTGAAAGACTCGGAAAGGGAAGGCACACATGTCTTAGGAGTATTCAGGCTTGATTTCAAGGTAGGTGATGATTCAATTTCCTGTTTGTGTGATATATGCCGGCTAATTGCTTCATTGTATGCATGCATGTATGTGAATTGGAAAATGTGAATCAAATCTAATGAAATGATTATGTGCGAACCATTACATGCATGCCATGAACTTGTTACTTGACTGTGTGACTATGTGCACTGTTCATTATGGGTGATTGTGATTGCGGTTGTGCTGACTAGATCGGGTGTCAAGTTTCGACACATACAATGGATTGGGTATCACGTTCCGAAATATATATTGAACCGGATTTCACGTTCCGACACATGTATATTGTAGCGGGTGTCACGTTCCGACACACTAACAATTTGGGCGTGGGTTCCATGAGAGGACCACTAGTGATTATTACGTTCATGTTTACCTATCATTGATATCGGGAAATTGTATGTTGTTCCTAAATGATAATTGAATGATACAATATGTATATGTATGTTTACTATGTTGTAACTACTTGCTTGTATTTCCCTATTGGAATAGCCGCGTGATCCTATCAGTACACTGTGATTTGTGTACTGATACTGCACTT